GTTTTTTCCGGGATCGTGGAGAAATCGTCCAACATTCACCGCCATATAAGAGAAAAGAAATCATATAGCAATTCAGCAAACTTTTCTTTGTTTCTAATTAAATTTTGTCTCTTTCTTAATACTTTGCTTAGTTTTTGAAAGGAATCTTTCGTTAATCTAATGCATTTGCGGATTTTGGTGTATCCATTTCAGTAGGCTATCCTCATCATCATTTGACCATAGTCAGGATCATCAAACCAATACAAACTATACTTTATTTAGCTGTATAGTATGTACTATGCCAGGGCTACATACAGTTTTGAATACAGAGTTACTTTCTCCAAGACCGGTTGCTACCCAGCCTGTCCTGCTATTTAACCATAGGGAGGGGAAGGGAGAAGAGTATTCATACCTTACTCAACGGTATTAGTAAGTGAATGTAATGGATCCAACTGGAATTCGAACTCGCCCCTCAATCCGAGCCGCTGCCCTTTACTCCACAGTTCCTCTAAGGCAGCGTTTCTCAAAGAGGGTTCCTCAGAACCTTAAGGTTTCGCAAAAGGGCCCCAAGGGTTCTGTGAGAACAGGTGAGATAAGCTAAGACACTTTTGACTTTTTATTTAATTAAAAAACATAATCTATAAAAACTATAAATTATAATCATTAAGATTTTTATACTAATATCTTCCCATAAACGAAAAATGATCTGATACACATAATTGAACAATTGTGGTTATGTCACATAATAAGTTGTACAGGTTGAGGCTTAGCTTAGTTTTGGGCACGTGGCCGAGCGGTTAAGACGTAAGCCTTCTGACCAGGACTGGAGGGGTCGATCCCAATGTGCGGCACCTTGGGAAATTAACTGAAAACTATACCACTTTTGAGTGAAATTGAGTAGATGGAACACATGGGGGCTGTCGATAGCTGTGCTGTCACAAGTTCATCGTTCAAATTGTTGATCACGCTAGATAACATACTCTTTCCCAGAAACTGTAACTGAGTTGCAATATAAACCACAGGTGGCTCTGTGGTGTTGAATAAGCACAAATGTGCCTGAGCAAGCGTCTTCAATAGGGATTGGCTACCCGCCCTTGTAGGCAGGTATCCTCAAATAGTGGCCAGTGAGTGGCCAGTGTGTGATATTTTTTATATTTTGCACGCATCTTTTATATATGAGTTTCTGTGATATTATTTTATATATATTTTTATATATATATATATATATATATATATATATATATATATATATATATAATATATAAAATGGGAAAAGTTTATTTGCGACGGTTTTCATCCGTTCGGGCTTCATCGGACTGGGTTTGTTGTTGTGACTACATATGCTCACGAACGATAGACGCTGGTAGTTTCAAAATTTTGTCAAATAATTTTTTCAATCTAGCCGAATCCATCTTTTCTTTTCCTTTTTCTTCCAATCATTTTTGTTTTTAAATATCTCACATTGTAATAACAGAAAATCTTCCAAGAATGGTGATACGTCGCAAATTTATCCGTAATTTTACTGTGGCTGAATTATATATATATATATATATATATATATATATAATTTATGGTTTTAAAAGCCTAAAAACTGCACCTATTATTAAGGAATTATCTGCTTTTGAAAATGAATTAATTGATTAAGGGATTAACCTTCTATAAGTATAAAAATGCTTTTCAAAAACATCTCGAAAGTATTGTCAGTGATATTAATAAATCTGGTGATATGTACGTTAAAAGAAAACTTTTAAAACCATTTATTTTATTTTCAACATCATCACTTGATAAGACACAGAGTGTGTTGAAACAAAATGGCTATTTTTGTAGTGATTTTATAACATACTTATGTTATAATTTTTTTTAAAAATAATTATATATATATATATATATATATGTATGTATATATATATATATATATATATATATATATATATATATATATATATATATATATATATATATATATATATATATATATATATATGGGGAAAATATATATAATTTTTTTTAATATCAGAACAATTTTAGGATAATCTATGACAAAGCCTAAATTTTTTTTTTGTTGCAAAACGCTTCAGTCTGTAGAGCTGTTTACGTTAATGTGACTACCGATGCGTACGAAACGAATGTACGCTAACATTTTAAACTTTTAAATTAAAATACAGTTGAACTCCCCAAATCCGGACATAGCCTAATCTAGATTTCCACGAATTAGACTTCCTCGAAAATTGAACTCATCCTCAAATCCGAACATTTGTAATGACATGAGGCTTTTTCTTCCTCAAATCAGAACAGTTACCCTCAATACCAAACATCTCGGATTTTCGGTTTAAATGAGTTGTACTGGATCTCGTTATTTTTGACTTCCTTTACAGATTGCAATTGTTATCGAATAAGATATTTCTTGCTCATAATTTTTAAACATTTCATAAAGTGTCTTAGTTTTCACAAATTATAATATTTGTTTAGCACAAGTTTTTTCATAACAATTGGTTGGCAATTATTTTTTGTACATTTATGTATTCAAAAAATGCGGTACGATGACTCTGTCAAAGCAAATCTTCAGGGGTGCAAGCTCAAAGCCAAAGAACTGGATGTGCGTGCCAGTGATCGACCACGTTGGCGAATCAGAATCCATGACGCTGCTGTCACTGTCGAGGATGCTCAACGCCAGAAGCTTACCGCTGTCAGACATCAACGCCACAGGGTATCGTCAGTAGTGATTGCCACAACGGAATTTCACTGTCTCCACTGTTCCAAACACTGCGACTCCAGCTGGGGATTGCAGAGCCACTTGCGAGTACCCAAATGAGATGCAAATTCGGCACGTTATTTTCGGATTCGAAGGACAACCGATATATGTACTCAATCTTTATTTTAAATAAAAACAAATCAACGTTACAAACTACCTTTTGTAAACTACAGTCTAAAATTTTAAGCTTGCCACAGCAACCTTTTCTTTCTCGATTCCGAACAGTACCCCCAATTCTGTTTAGTTGTATTCTATTTGTTTTAATAAAACTGATAAAAACAGAAACTAAATTAAGTCGGATAGACAATATAGCCTAACACATATTTAAAAAGAATATCAAATGTAATAGTTTTTGATGTGATGGAATAACTTTCCACTCTCATGAGTGGCGGTACTATAGCTGGTAACCAACTATAAGTACCCGTGAGGACAGCGGACGGGAGAGTCGGCCTGGGATCTGTTATTCAGATCTTGGTGGTTGTCGAACTCTCTTCCTTTGGGTAGAAAGGAACCCGGACGATGCTATGCCGAAGGGCAGATCTTGTCCTGGGAGGTAGACAGACCCGAACCTGCTTATGCGGGGTTACGGTGAATTTTTGGCCGAGCCTACGGGCTCGGATTGCCCTACATTAAATTCGGCCTTGTGCCACATCCTACCTTGTGGGGAGGCTTTACCTGCCTCCCCACCGTCGAGCTGAGATCTGCGAGACTACGGCCTTCCGATAGCAGCACGCACACAACTGTACTGACTTGCGACGACCGTGCGCATAACTATTACTTCCTTGCTTGTTGTACTTGTTTCTACAATAAACCTATTACTATTTATCCACCGTGTTTGTCCATTCCATATTCCTATTAGCCCGGAATATAACAGTTTTAAAATTTCAGCGAGCCATCTCCTTGGTGTGCATGTGTAGACACTAACGTAACTTTTCCTTTAGTCCAGTGGTTCCTAAACGTTTCCGGGATTGACACCCACTAGCACACCAAAGCGCAACCTGAACTCCCCATCCCAAATGTATAGTCAACCTTTGATTGGATTTTCTTCGTGGCAGTCTTGCATGTCAAAGGTGTATCTTAGAATTTGGCATAATAATTGCTATAAAAACGAAATATCACTGTAAAATGAAGGCTAGTATTCTGGCTACCCAATTTTTTTTATCACCGTTCCCATCCACCTCTTGGATCATTCCACTACCCCCAGAGAAACGGTACTGCCCATTTTGATAATCACTGCTGTAGCCCCGATGAAGTTCTAAAGGACCAAATGTGTCACACAAAAAATTGTTTTCACTTTGTCATATATATATATATATATATATATATATATATATATATATATATATATAAAGACATTTGGAATGCTTTGATATAGGGTTTAATAGTTTCTATCGGTCAGGTAGGAAAAAGGAAAGATAAGGCACGAATTTGTGAACTTTGCGGGTTTTTTATGAGGTGAGAAATTAACAGGTTTATATCAACTTTCAGTATTGAGATTTAAATCGACAAAAAAAGAAAAAGAAAAGAAAAAAAGAAAAACAAAGAAAGAAAGAACTAAAGAATGTTCGTCCTTTCTTTCACTGTCGGAAATTTAATCTTCAAAAAGAAAGAGAAAAAGAAAAGTTATTTCAAACACAGAAATCATTTGTATTTGCTCTTATCACTCTTTATTATTTTTACATCGATCTCAAGCTCTCAGCCTAACCTCGTGTGAAGCTTTCATTCAATTACGCCAGCAGTAGGTATTGCTTCGCCCCAGGGGAGTGGAGGCGAGGCAAATATTCCACTCATTCCGGACGCCAAGCAAACTCATATTTATACACTTAACATCCAAAAATAAAATAAAACTAACCATTCTTTCTTTATTTCGCCACTTCGGCATCCTAATCAACACAATTTTTAAATTTTTTTTTTTTTTACTAATATTCACCCAGTTCAAGGCCCAAGAGCCACCCGAGCTAGGGGAAGTGAAGTTCTTGGGACTATACTAGGCTATTTTAACAGCTAACCCGAGACTTGACGAAGTCAACATTTTATTATTTAATCAGAGTTCAGTCGGAGACGTGAGAAGAAATATAGTGTGGACGTAGTGTTTAGAAGGAACCGGAAACCCAATCCTAAACAGGAAAGAAGTTATTAAATTCTACTCCCGTTCAAAAGAAGGATTGCGAAGCGGACGATAGACAAACCCATCGACGCCATTTTCTGCAGAAGAACCGATATTTTTCAAGAGTTCCCCCTTGTCTCCTTTTCTCTTTTAATTCATGGATTACGGCCATAGCCCATCGTAATACCGGTTTCCGTACGATCATCAAAGTTAAACAACGTCAATCCTGGTCAGTACCTAGATAGGTGACCGCTTGGTAATACCAGGTGCCGTAAGCTTGGATGTGCGGGTGGTGTAATAGATAATGGCTCGGAATTTTTCTATCGGAGAGACGAGTTCCAATTTCAGTTGGGCTCGTTATATTCACTTACGCGGAAGGTAGGTATCCACCTCTTCTCTTCCCTTTGCTATGGGTTAATTAGAGAGACTTGTATTACTGAAACCATTACTATTTCGAAAGCAAACAAATAAAAATATTTAGATTTCGGAATCAATTAACCCATAGAAGTTGGTTGCCTCGAAAGAAAAACAACAACAAAATCTTTTCATTCATCTTCGTCGATGAAGACAAACTTCAAAACTCTGGTCATATCGAGATAGATGGAAAGCTAAACACATACGAAAGAAAACAAAACAAAACAAACAAGCAAAAAAAAAAAAAAAAAAGAAAATAACGCAGATCACCGGACCTTACTGCAGAATGGCGATGGAAAGTCATCCGAAAATATGAAACTCTACCTTCCTTGTTGTATAGCAAAACAGTTTCTTCGCAATACATTTCATGAATAAAACTATTTCAATAATTTCACAATTTTACATTGGAAAATATAACTTGTAATTAAATTTCAATTAGTTTCAAATGAAATAAATTACAAACAATTTTAACTTGTTAACAAGGAATTACACTTTCTCCCTTAGACATACTTTTATTTTTTACTCGCCTACCAACCGCCATTCGGACGGACTTTACGCTAGATCCTGTGCAGGGCTTTTGTCGCTTCAGCCTTTTAAATTGAGCGTCCTATGTACTTAAAAGTTATAAGAATTTAAAAATAATAAAAATATATTGTCTTTATTCGACACCTTAATTCGGCATAATCTTTCTTCGTATACACAACCGATCTTCGTAGTTTGTTTACATTTATTTTGGACGCAATTTTTATTTTATTTTAAAACCACCATTTTTTATGATCCGTTTATATAAAGTCACTCTTAAAAACATTAGGGAACCCAACCTATGTAATATTTTGAATACGTCACAGTACAAAAAGAAAAAAAAATGTGTGTAACGTGCCATGACCTGCTCAAGTTTTAATTAGACGAAATCAATTGCAATTGCGACGAAAAGCGAAATGAAACCTTTAATAAAGAATTGTTTTTTTTTAAACCTTTCGATATTTAAATTTAACTTTAAATGAGTTATTTGATTTTTAATAGCGTGTTAGTTCAGGTTTGTCAAGCTCGAAAAACGGACGGTCGGATGGACACACGTACACTGAGCTTTATCTATATAGACTTTTTTAAGATTTGACTTATGATTATAAAATACAAATATGTTGCTGGGTTTAACATTTAAAACTGTCAACAACACCTACCTTGAAATATTTTACTGGCCAACTTACACATCATGAACTAATTTTCATCCAAGAATGTAATTGTTGAGTTGCCACAAAATAATTCTCGAGTGATCTCCAGCTATCGTGAAAGGACTCTTTTCGACTTCATATGAATATCTCACTTTATTTTGCTGGCAATTGCTTTACTTAACCAGAAAAGGGGTATCCTCGACTTTGGTGACCTGTGGTGACATTAAATATACTCAGAGGTCAACCACACATAGTCTATGACCCAACTGGATTTCACACCGAACATTAGGTCCATAACTCTTGTCTTCTGAGTGCGACCATGACACAAGCACACAAAACGGAGCCTACAATATTAGGACAATTATATATGAGGTTGTACCAAAAAGTATGGGGTTAGACAGTTTTTTTTTGTATTTTTACAACAAAGTTTTTGTATGGAAAGGTATACGTAAGTAGATTCTCTGCGAATGAGTAAATCTTGAGTAAACACACTTTTTTTTATATGAAATGAGCGCGTTATTATATAAAATAGTCGAAAGATATCGTATATAAAATAACGTGTTTTGCTTGTTCGACTACGAGATCCAACAACAAAATCCAAAGAAATGTAACTTTGAGCAAACTCTAGCATATGTTCCAATATACAACAAGAACAATCCACAACTATTTACTGAAATTACAAAAAAAATCTAGACCTACTTAGCAAAGATAATAAACTGAAAAATATACTAAAAACAACCAAAATAATTAAAAGCAAACACCAATCTAAAAACCAAAAACACATTCCAACCTCATCCAAATTTAACCAACACACAATACAGGGAGTCACAAAATGCAACAAAAATGGATGTGGGGTTTGTGACATCATTTTTGAAGGAATCTTCTACACTTTTGAAAACCCAAAAATGACATTCATAATGAATAAAAATTTAAACTGCAACTCGAAAAATGTCATTTATGCACTCAAATGCACAAAATGTAAGAAATCATATATAGGTATCAGCCCAAAACTAAACAACTTACACAAAAGCAACATAAAATTACCAGACAACAGAAAACTATTTGTATCACAACACATCGGGGGAGCCTAAATCTGTCCCCTAAACGAGACTCTATTGTCGGGTGTAATTTTAGATCATACACATGACCTAGATTCTAGTTCTTTCGAAAAAAATAGCACCTGCAGCGTAGTTTCATTTTCTTACTGATTGGGAAATCACTTAATCACGTTTAAGCCATGTCAATCTAGAGGCTTCTTCTGCCGTCATTGTTATTGAGCGAATGGCCTTGTTCCTTTCCAAGCCTGTTACATCTTTTTGGCAGCAACTTACATAGTGACTGCCCGGAAAAGCCTCTTTCAATCAATTCGGAATGAACTCACCAACCATGCGTTTTGCATTCCTCTACAATATGCAAATATTTCCCAAGTTTCATTTCGCGGGCTTAATTCTAACATGATGACTTTAATAAATCTTTATATAATGTTAAATAATAAATCATTATATAATGATAAACAATAAATCTTTATATAATAGTAAATAATAAATCTTTATATAATGTTAAATAATAAATCTTTATATAATGATAAACAATAAATCTTTATATAATGGTAAATAATAAATCTTATATAAAGATGGTAAATAATAAATCTTTATTTAATGATAAACAATAAGTCTTTATATAATGGTAAATAATAAATCTTTATTTAATGATAAATATTGCAGGTCGCATTGTACAGGGAGGTCCGAAAGTATTGTCACCTCTACATAATATAATTTCCTATTTTCAACGAGCGAGTTTCACATGAACGATACCAGAATACCCAAGGACGCCGTTCGGAGAGCCTTTGCAGCAATCAATAAAGTACAGCTTCGTAAATCATTTGGCGCCACGAAAAAGATGGTGTTCATACAAACCTTGTCGATGTGTGACAGCGTCAATGAAATTGAATAAACTGAATCCAGTGAAAATGCTATGTATAACTCTATTATTTCTTGTTCTATTGTTCTCATTACTTTTTGGTAGGGCGTGACAAGACTTTCGGACCACTCTGAACTTGGTTCATCTATTTTTAGAATCTTGTAAATAAGCATTCTTAAGGGAGTCAAAAGTGTATACTCTAATAGCAGGTTCAAAGGAATAACCGTTTTTTTTATTCAATATTTTCTCGCGGCGACCAAGGTTAAACCATCACTCATCAGATGGGCTGCTTACTTGTGCTGAAAATCACCTGCCTTGCTCTTTAACTACAGCTGGAGCCGGCATCATGAGAAAACAGCTGACCTGATCAATTAGTGGAAATAAATTCAAGATGATATGATTAAGTAGTGAAATCAAAGAACCCCAACTTTAATTTGAAATCCTAATATAGGAAGGTGTGCTGAAAATTATCAGCGCCATTCATTTCTCCTATACTGACAAAAAGACCAATAGTATGCACTCAATTCTCCTGAGACAAACAAAAGTTCTTTTTTTACTCGGTGTCAAATCAGAACATCAACAGATCTAGGAGCCCCGAGGGTTGACTAGAGAGGCCATAACTGCACCTCAAAGTAGTCATACCAAATTCTAACATTTTTGTGCCACAAAAATAATGGTGTTCATATAGACCTTCTCAGTCACTGATCAGAATATTAGCAATCGATTGGCTAACGAGGGTATAATAAAATATATTGCGAGCTAACTACAATCTCATTTTTAAACGCAACCTCAATTTCGTCCTGGGTATGACGATAAACTACACCGGCGTCATGGGTAAGACGATAAACTACACCCGGCAGCAAGGCCTCTGATCAGAAGGTTTTGAGGAGCGTGGAACCACCTCTTAATTGCTGGTGTTTCCAGGTCCACGTTGACCCAGGGTGGTAGCATCTGTTAGGGTCCCAGCTATTGGCAAATAGTTAACCCCCTCCCAAGGGTTCAAAACACTATGAAAGTATTAAAATAGTTGAAAATAGGATATAAACACACAAGACAACCGAGTTAACAGAAGTTACATAAACGCCCGACCTCCGAGGGGAGAAGAAAAATCCCTCACATCATTGCAAGAAGAAAATCGAACATTCGAAGAAAGGCCCGGAAACAAATACCCTCGATTCAGCCGACGTTAATCGATAAGTAAACAAAAATCATTTTACGCATAAAACATAAAGTTTCAAATTGGTATTTAGAATACCTTCTTGGTCGAACTGAGAATATTTTTAGTACCCCTCGTAGAGAGAGAAAGAGAGAGAAAGTGAGAAAGAGAGAGAGAGAGAAAGTGAGAGAGAAAGAGAGGGGGTATAATAAAATATATTGGCTACTAGGTCTTAGCGTTTTATTGTTGAACTAAGTAGATGCAACTGTAAGTTCTACTCTCGCATGTTGATTTGTTGATTTTATTTAGCGGCATATTAAATTCTATGGGTTATTTAATGCCGAAATGCAAATATTTCTTTTCATACGTATTTCTGGTATTTTTTACTATAACAAACGTTTTGATCTTTTTCGGTGGGGAGGGCCCCACTATTTGCTGATAGCTGGGACCCCAGCAGGCGCTAGCACCCTGGGACAAGATGGACATTGGAACAACAGCAATTAAAGGTGCTCCAATCTCCCAACCAGAGACCTTACTGCCGGACGTTCTAATTTGTGGAACTTCAATTTCTTGCTTGCCAGCTAACGACAGTCTTCAAAAAAAAAACGTCAATC